TACTGGTAGAATCAGACTATCTGATTAGGAGGCTTCAATACTGCTGTGAAATGACTGTCAATTTCGAAGGAAAAGTTGGTTTGAAGGAATTTGTGATCTTGTCTGACCGGAAACCGAAGAATGATTGCCGCGTAGAGAAGACTGTTGAATTGTGCCAAGAAGTCTTCGGCTCACAGTCCTGCGACCCCAATGAAACTGTGCTAAGCTTTCGTCAGTACCACAGTGACAGACACCATCAGAGCAGGTATCCATACTTCACGAAATAGAGCAAAATATACTAAACCAAGAGGAAAGGTGGCCGGCTGCAACCCTAGTCGCTTTTTATGCAACCAACATCGCGATCTTAATGAGACATCCCCTGATTTTGTTAACTACTTCAACCCTATTCTACATTATCGCAAATGAGTAAAGTTGAATTCCCAAAATGGAAGTGCGTTCGGTGGTAGCTGTTTCATTTCCCACAAAACCATCGTACGATCGTTCAATGTTGAATCATGTTTGGGCTTGTGCTATATCGTCTATTGTGTGTATGTAATGCTCATGTCATAGGAAGTGTGATAGTACCAACTAGACGCGAGGCTACCCCAGCCTCCTTCTCTTGCTCACTGGCTCTTACTTCACCCTCTCTCTTTCCCATTCCTTAAGTTTATCCAACAACCACAAAATGTCCCTACCAACTTTTATACACTCGTTTCTGCTATTCAGGACGTTGGCTATTTTGTTAATTTCTATAGACTCCCTAATCTTACGCTTTGACATCAAGTCTCCCTAACTCGCAAAGCGTTGTGTATTGGACCAGTCTATTGAGTGGCCTGCATTGCCAAAATATATTCACTCATTTGCAAGCATGAAAAGTAAGGTTGAAGTAGGCAACCAAATTAAGATTGCGATGTTGGGTGTATAAAAATCGACTAGGGTTGCAGCCGAACACCATCCTTTCTTGGTTTAGTTTATATTTTGTCTATTTTATAAAGTATGGTATATCGCTCTGATGATGTCCGTCACGGTGGTACAGACGAAAGCTTAGCACAGTTTCATCGGGGCCGCCAGACGGTGATCCGAGGACTTCTTGGCACATTTCAACAGTCTTCCTTACGCGACAATCCTCCTTCGGTTTTCGGTGAGACCACATCACGAATTCCTTTAAACCAACTTTCCCTTCGATATGAAGAGTCATTTCACAGCAGTATTGAAGCCCCCTCATCAGATGGCATGATTATACCAGTATAAGTATTTTGAACCTTTATATGTCAGTGCTTTGATAGATACCGGAAATATTTGTTAAATATATTATACTACTTATTTTCGATTTGAGTAGTAGCTTTTTTTTATTGATGATCAGATGATAGAAAGAGGAGATATGCTGGTAAGCTTCAATCTAGTGTCTATGTCCACTAACATTCCGATAAATGATGCAATGAAGGCGTTAGATTTTACTTTAGATCACGCCCTGAAATCATAACAGGTACAAAGTTAAGCAAAGATTCAATCATTAGACATGTCAATTTGGCAATGCATAATACATATTTTGCCTTCAACTGTAAGTTGAATGAGCAGACCCGGGGTTCGGCTATGGGATCTTCTTTAGCCCCGTGTTTAGCTTATAACTGCATGACCCAACTAGAAGTTCGCGTGTTTCAGGAGACACTCCTTCTTCCAAAGTTATTAGTTCGCTATATGCACGATTACTTTGCTGTCTGGCAACACGGCCAAAAATAGTTTGGGGGATCCCGTGAACAGATAAATTGAATAGATGTAAATACTACGTTGACCATAGAGTTATAAAGGGAAATTAAATTATGATTTTTGGATATATTGGATGGGCAAAGAAGTTGGATAGGGACGTATATAGAAGATCCATTCACGCAGGTTTCATTATTAATTGATTCTCCAACCATACATATAGAGTCAAATTAGGAGTTATGAAGTCCTTGCTAATAAGGAGTCTGTGTCTAGCAGATACAACAATAGTGACCAGGAGATTGATAGTTCGAGGGATAAACTGTTTCAAAACAATTACCCATTATAATTAGTCGACATTTACATGTCAATTGTAGTTAACAAGATCAAGGGAGTTTGCTATCAGGTGCGGGATAGACAACTGGACAATTCTACTCGGTTCCTGATTTTGCCTTCTTGCCAGCTTGCGAAAATGTTGTGTGATCTACTGAGGAAATGGAACATAAGAAAATGTATAAAGAGAAACTAACACTTTCTTTTGTGGTTCCTTGGTTTAGAGAACATTCAGACCCTTATTCTAGATCAGGCTGTTACAAAGTTTTGTGCTCTTGTGGTAAGGTCTATGTGAGGGAAACCTGCCGACCCATTCACAAGATATTATGCGAACACAAAACCGCTTGTAAAGGTATGTAGCTCCCAAAATCTGAGCTCTCTGAACACATTTTGGCAATGCAGGACACTCAATAGACTGGTCCAATGCACAAAGCTTAGTGGGTTAGGGGGACTTGACGTCAAAGCGCAAGATTATGGAGTCTATAGAAATAAACAAAACAGCAACGTCCTGAATAAAAAAGTTGGTAGGGACCTTTTGTGGTTGTTGGATATACTTAAGGAATAGGAGAGAAAGCAAGTGAGCAAGAGAAGGAGGCTGGGCTATCCTCGTGTCTAGTTGGGGCTATCACACTTCCCATGACATGGGCATTACATACACACAATAGACGATAGCACAAGCCCAAACATCATTTAACATTGAACGATCGTACGATGGTTTTGTGTGTAATGAAACAGCTGCCAACGAACGCACTTCTCTTCTGGGAGGTTAACTTTACTCGTTTGCGAGCATGTAGAGTAGGGTTGAAATAGCCAAAAATCCAATTTAAATAGCCAATTCATTTAAATAATTACTATTATTAATTCTAATAAAAAGGTTATGGTTATCCTTCTTATGGTTGCTGGGTAGGTAGATGTTAGTGCCAAAAGTTTTATTTTGAATGACGTTTCGAGATTTCCTGGTAATGGATGATAGATTTTATGTGAGACGCTAAGGCGAAAGTAGTATTGTGCAAGAGGAACCTATTTTAGTCCTACAAACTTATGTACACACCACAAATTCACTCAGTGACTCCGCGAATTCTGATGGGGTAACACGAAACCTTGCTCTGCTATTTTTTATTATTAAATTGATGTTAAATATGATAATGGTTCTATATATTTCATATATTCTAAATTTTCATTTTGTGTGTGTGTAATGACATAAAATTGGAGTAATTATGGTTATGGGCTTAATGCTGTTCAAGT